GAGAGAGAGAGAGAGAGAGAGAGAGAGAGAGAGAGAGAGAGAGAGAGAGAGAGAAATATTTTCTGGCCTGGTTGCCACCTCAGGCAGCTTTTCAATTAAAAGTGTTAAACTGGTCAACTCTGAGTGGGTCATGTGTGCTGTGCGGCATTGGCCTGGTAGGGTTGAGAGGGACAGTCTTTAGTTTGCCATGATGTACAATTTCTGAAGAATCACAAAGGTAGGCAGAGACTCCCACCTCCACCCCCACCCCAGGTGATTGGGAGGTAGGTGCTCTTTGCAGATTCCACTTGGAAAAAGTCTACGGGCTCCTATAGGTGTCTTCAGTTGTCAAGAAAGACCAGACATGTGGGCTCATTACTACAGATTCATGTCCCAGGAGACCTGAGAAGATAGCACTACTGTGAATTGTCCTCCCTGATGCCCGCAGTAAGTACCCGTTAGATGACTCCAGCTTCCTGCCTATGATTTTCCTTGTCTCAGCAGCAGTGATGGTGAACCTTTCAGAGCTTTCAGTGACACAGACAGCCCGCTGTGACAGCGTGCCATAGGTTCACCACCACTGCTCTAGGGGATTTCCTTTCCTTTCCTTTCTCCATCTCCCATGGAGGTCTCACAGAATACCCAAGTCATCAGAAGTTATCTCCTAGAATTGTGGACATCAGCATCTGCCAACCCTCACCACACATCCTAGCACAGGCTGGGACTGAGGGTCTTTTGTGGCCAGGGTAACCCCCAGGAAACAGATTCCTGAAAGTGAGGGGGATGAGCCATTCATTCCTAGGTGTGTCTTGTCTCAGAGAATCTTGGTTCAGCTTTGTTGTGTCATCTTAGGAAGATGGTAGTAGCAGTGGCAGTAGAGTACTGTTTGGATCTTTTCCATAAAAATCCAGAAACAGAAACAGAAACTAGGACAGCAAAACCAAAAGTCCACATGTAAGATTTACAACAAATCTAGCTTATCAAAATATTGCCCATGGACCCTAAAGTATGAGCAGGTGAGAATGGAGATCAATGCTTCAAGACCCATACATGGTGTCACCATCTGCACAAGAGGTGCAGAAGCAAGGTAGGCTATCTGATGGACCTGAGAACAGGAAAGCCCCCAAGTTGTCTACAAGTCTTTCCTAGAAAGCCTAGTGGGCCACTCTGAGAACAGTAAGAGAAGCTGGGAGAGATATAATAGTTTATTTTCCAGGCTACTCACTCATTCTCCATGGCAAGCACATAACAGGTGCTTATTTAACGTTTGAATGAATAAAAGTCAAATGACATTTCTGGAGATTTCTTCCAACATTTGTGGGTAGGGGACAGGAAAAGACAAATCCTTGTTTTGAGTTATGTGGCTAAAATTCTGTGTGATTCTAAGGTATGCAACATAGTGGAATCAAGTTAGGAAGTAGGCAAAGAGGCTCAGGCAGTCCTCCTCTAAGCTTGTGAAAAGAATCACTCCCAACACACTCAGGTGCAGACACACACAAACACACACAAACATTCAGTTTGACCTGGAAAGAAACCATCCTGTTGAGGGCACAGGAGATGGTGATTCCCAGCTACATCAGCAGCTTCTGACATCAGTTGGCTCCAGACGTCCCAGAGGATTTTAGAAGGGCGGGGAGCCCTCAGCCTAGAGTGGCGGAAGGAGGTCCAGTTCGTGTCAAGTCTGTGTTCAGGAAGTAGGTGCAGAGCTGTCCTTTGCCTTTGACCTTGATGACACCCCGACTGTAGCATGTATAGCCCAGGGACTGCAGGGCCTGGGCTGTCTCCTCAGTTACCTGAGATTGGAAGGTTGTAAGGGGATGGTCCTGTCCTTATCCCCCTTCCTCATGCTCCCCCATGCCTCCAGTGTAGCTCTCTCACTTGGATCTTGCCAAGGACTCCTGTGCTCTCCATGCGACTGGCCACATTCACTGTGTTGCCCCAGATATCATATTGTGGCTTCTGGGCCCCGATCACTCCAGCCACTACTGGTCCATGATTCAACCCTGACAAAGAATGTGATGAGGAGGAGGCCTTACAAGAGGAACTTTGAAGAGGAAGTGGGGAAAAGGAAGCTAAAGGAACTGGGGAGAAGGAAGGGTCAAGGGCGCCTTAAAGGAGAAGAAGGATCTCTGGGGTGGAGGAATGCGGCTTAGGGAAGGGAAGGAATGAGCTCTTGGCCCAGTGGTTTCATGCCTCATCCAAATGAATGAGTCTGGAGAAGGGGTTCAGGGATAATCTGGGAAGCAGCTTACAAAATACTTGGAGTGGGGAGACCATGGGAAAACAAGGGGACACCACATTGCCCCAGCAAGGCGGGGTGGGGGTGGGGGGCTCACCCACACGCAGGCGGAAGTTGTTAAATGAGTGCTTGTTGATGACATCCAGCTTAGACCCCAGGGCCATTGCAAATTCCACCATGGTGCCAAGGTGGCTGCAGCTCCGTTCAGCATCCTGGTAATGGGCCAGTCCATCAGGATGGGTCAATGAGGACACACAAATAAATCCTACTTATGGGTCCACCAGGAAGAGCCCAGGGAGGGATGGTCGGTAAGGAAGAGTGTTGTACCTGTTGTGGATCTTGTCCAGAGGTGGCATTTAAGCCTGTGGCTGCCATGTAGGTACTGCCAATAGTTTTGATCTTCTCTACTCCACTGAACTTGGGCTTGGAGAGCAGCTGTACAGAGAGAAGGTTTTGTCCCCAGTCTCTCTTGCTCTCTTCCCTTTGCCTTCCCCAGAAGCTGAGCCCAAGGGCTTTGGAGGCTAAAGGACAAGGCTTCGGGGTTGAAGCTGGTAGTAGGAAGGAGAGAGTGGGCAGGGGCATTGTTATTGGAGAGTGTAGAGCTGGGGATCAGAGAAGGAGAGGGAATGCTGGGGTGGTGATGGCGGTGGATAGGATTGGCTTCATGGACAGGAGAGCAAAGTGGAAAGAGGGACTGGTGGAAAATTTGAGGATCCAGGACATAGGGTCTGGGGTACCCTTGGAATTGTCACCTCATCAAAATCAGCAATTATCTCATTGAGCAGCCGCAGACACTCTAGCCCCTCATGGTTGATGTTGGATTCAGAATAAAACTCCTTAAAGTCTGGGACTGAGGCAAAGAGCACGCAAACACACTCATAGGACTGGTGGTAGAGGTCCTGGGAGAGGGAGGGACAGGGGAAGGGGTATATGTCGTGTGTTCCACATTTCAGAGGCCCTCCGCCCATATCCACATTCCTAGTTTCTTTGTTCAAGAAGGACTGGAAGGGAGGGAGAGGGGTAGGGCCTGGTTACCGCAGGGATATGATTCAGAAATCTAAGATTTGGTGTTATTATGACTCCAAGAAGGACAGAGATTTGGGGTCAGAATCATCTCACAGCTAAATAAAGGGACTCACTCACTCCTGGAGTCAGAATAGTGTCAGTGGGAATTATTTTTATACCCTATCTCATTGCTGAAAGATATTTTATCAGTTAGGTCAGTTTTTAAAGATAGGGATAATCTGGATTATAAAATAAAGCAACAATAGGGAGTAAGTGTGGGACAAAGGGAAAATAAGGACAACAGGATAAAGATGGAATCAGATCTGAGGGTGTTCACACAGTGGGTGCCATGAAGTCCTTAGTAGTCCTGGATTCTGGATGTAAGCTTTCTAGTGGCCAATGTGAAGAGAGAAACAGGAGGAGTTACAAGATTCCTTGTGCCCATAAGTGAAGAAACTAGAAGTAGAAGTACTTCTGATCTTGAGAGCTGAGACTAGGCAATAGAGGCTAGTGAGATAATTCCTGAGCTCTTTCTTTTAACATCCCCCAGTATAAGACAAAAGCATTTCCATAGTAAACAGGGCCAGGCAGTGGTAATACAAAAAAGATGGTGCAACTATGTGGGTGGCTATCTGTGGGTAACTGACTATAGCCAGATTTTTGAGGCTCTAGAGCAGCATCATCCAATGGGACTTTCTTTTTTTAATTATTTATTATTTTTTTATTTTTATTTTTTGGTACCGGCGATTGAACTCGGGACCTTGTGCTTTCGAGGCAGGCGGCAGAACCACTGAGCTAAATCCCCAGCTCACAATGGGAATTTCTGCAGTGATGGAAACACTGTATAGATGTACTGCTGGATATTGTGGCCACTAGTCACATGTGGCTGTGCACTTGACATGTAGCTGGTACTAGGGACTGGACCCAGGGCCTCCACACTGAGTTACATCCTCAGCCCTTTTGTTTTTGTTTGTTTTGTTTTGTTTGTGTTTGTTTTTTTGAGACAGGGTCTCGCTTTGTAGTTCAGGCTGGGCTTGAACTCATTATGTAGCTGGGCTGGCTTCAAACTCTCGGCTATCCCCCTGCCTCAGCCTCCTGAGTGCTGGGACTACAGGTGTGTGCCACCATGCCTGGCTGGTAGACTGTATCTTGCAGAAAACTACATCAACACTGACCAAGCTTCTGGAAGGTACAAAATAGTCATGAGTTGGAGAAAAAACTCTTCTTCCAAGTAGGAACTTGAAATGTGGAGATTCTACACTCACTGAAGACAGAGCCCCAAATCTTATGAAAATAGAGGCATCTGACAGGGACAAGGACTTCGTGGATGCCTGACCCACTGGTATGGAGTCCAGAGAGGATGGACTAAGGGCCAAGACTTTCATACAAATGTAGTCCCTGTGGCACCTGGGGCTCGGGGTTCAGGAATCAGGAGTCACCTCATTGCGCCGGTTCTGGCCAATGAACTGCGGGGCCACATGTGCAGGCAGCACATTCTCCAAGAGCAGCCGGGTCAGGTTCTCCATTGTCTCTGTCTCCTCCCGCTCCTGCCTCAGTTTCTTCTTCCACAGGAAGTCCAGGCGGCAGTAATATTCATTCTGGGAGGGCCATGGAGGGGGAGTGCAGGGAACCCCCAACTCCTGAATGTTTGTACCCCTACTC